GTCTGTGTGAAGCTGCACTTGTTCAGGTTGGCCCTGAGCTAAGGCGCCTATAGAACTCCAAAGACTACCCTTAAATGCTCCAAATGCTCCTCTGTGATCCTACTATACATAAGTATGTCATCAAAGAATACTAAGACAAACCTCTGGAGGTACGGTTTAAACACCCGATTCATCAATGACTAGGAGGTAGCAAGGGCGTTTGTAAGCCCAAATAGTATCACCAAGAACTCGTAGTGCATCTCATGTGTCCTGAAATGTGTTTTCTGAATACCCTCCTTCATTCGGATTTAATGGTAGCCAGACTTCAAGTCAATCTTGGAAAACACCACTGCTCCATGCAGCTCATCCAATAACTTATCGATCATCTGGATGGGGAATTTATCTGGCACGGGTCTCCTTGTTCAACACCCTATAATCCACACAAAACTTCCAGCTCCAATCCTTCTTCTTGACCAGTTAAACTGTACTGGAGAAAGGACTCACACTTGGCTTGATGATCCCCGCCTTCAACATCTCCCTAATCAGCTTATTAATATCATCCTTCTGAATTTGGGGATAGCAGTATGGTCGTACGCTCCCCCTCCAAAATGATTACATTCTCCTGCTCTTTAGGTGGTGGCAAGCCTTGAGCATGTTGGAAGACCTCGTTGAACTGTTGTATTAGTGGTTGTACTGCAAGAAGGATATCCCTCTCTTCCCCCACATTGACCCCCTCCAAGCATTGCAGTTCCACCAAATATTCTTTTCCCACCTCCTGTATGCTCCTGATCATGGATTTGAGGGATATTCCAGCTATAGACAGTCTTGCATCGCGCTGGATCACCATCCTCCTTCCTTCCACCACTAATTCCATCCTTAGTTCTCCCCAATTAACCTTGGTATCCCTCAAATTCTGCAGCCACTTCATCCCCAGGATGATATATGTACTTCCCAACTCCAAGGGAAGAAAATCCTCCCTTACTTGAATCACCTGAATCGTTAGCACTATTCCCCTACATACTCCTCTACCCATCTCTACCTTCCCAGTGCCCATCATCACTTCATATCCTCGAGTGTCCATTAATTTTATCCTTAACAGATCCACGATCTGATTAGATTTAAAATTATAGGTAGCCCCATTATTGATCAGCACCACCACCTTTCTATCAGCTATTTTTTCCTTTACTTTCATGGTGTGACTCGGGGTGAATCCCACCACTGAGTTTAAAGAGACTTCCGCCACATCCAAATGCAACTTCTCCTCCTCCACCACTAGCCCGCTCTCACCTCCCTCTTCAGCTTTCTCGTCATAAAAAATAGTGAGAACTTGAAGAGTTCGGTCCTTACACATATGCCCTGGCATGTACTTTTTGTCACATATGAAACACAACCCCCTTGCTCTTTTCTCCTATATCTCATTCACGGTCAGCTTCTTGAAGTTCCCCCCAGATACCCCCCCCCCTCGAGTGGCTTCCCCTAGCCCCCATCTCTAGATGCTTTTGGCCCTCCACCAACTGGGCTAGCTCTATGGTCTCCCCCAAGTCTCACAGCCTCATCACCCTAGTTGCTTCTCGGATATCTGGTTTAAGCCCCTTCATAAATTCCTCTCTAGCATTATCTTTTATAGACAGTCTAGTCTGCTAGCCAGATACTCGAACCTGTCATGGTACTCTGCTACGGTCACCTCATGCATCAGGGCAAAGAACAGCTCATAAAATTCTCCTCTCCTACTAGTTCGGAAACGTTCTGATAAACAATACTTAAACTCCCTCCAACTTCGAATGGGTCGCCTCATATCTCGTAATTAGTACCATGCCATTGCCTTCCCTTCTAAGCACAGTCATTCCGCTGTCAATTTCTTCTCTTCTGTTAACCCATTGACTGCAAAGTATCGCTTCACTTTGTAGATCCAGCTATGTACATCCTCATCCTCAAAGATGGGCATCTTCAGCTTTCTCACCTTTGGGTCACCCACGTTTCCCCTGTATCTTTCATAGATCCACATTCCTCGAAGAGGAGGAGCTCCCCAATTGTCACGATCTTCCCTCCGGAGATCATACCCATTCCCTTCATCAAAATCCCCTATTCTTCTTTCGAAATCAGCATCCGGACGATCAAAATCCTCCCCACTTCTCACAAAATCAGCACCTTTTCTTTAGTAGCCAATGCTCATCTCCTCCCTAGAAAGTGGTTCTAGATGTGGCATTCCGTCTATCCTTCTGGGATCTCCACTTATGGGATTTTCCCTTCCCCTAAAGGTGTCAGGGTTTCCACCTCTTCCATGGCCGTCCGTAGTTTCCTTTGCTTCCGATGTTGCCAGATTGAGTTTGGCTTCAAGCAATTTCTTCAACATGTCTTCTACCACGGTGAACTTTCTATCCATCCTTTCGTTGTTGGATGCGATTTGATTTTGAAAATCAGAAATCTTCTACTCAAAATCTGATTTGAGTTGCCCAAGTTCTCCCTCCAAAACTTCCACTTTCCTTCCGGCCGTTGGTTTCTCTTAGATCAATATGCTCTAATACCAATTTAATAGGAAAAAGGCACAAATAATGCATAAAAATCACTGTATTTCTTTCAGAGAAATACAACAAAGTATAGCAGATTTTTGGAGATTGGAGAAGAAATATGATGATTAATCACTTCAAATTCAATAGAAGAGGAAAACTCAAACCGATACAAGGATCTTCAATTCGAGAGGAAGATCCATTCCTCCAAATTCCTAGCCAAAGACTAGAGCCCTAGCACTATAATTGAGATGCCAAATTCAGATTCAAATTCAAGATGATAACCTAACCCTAACCATAGAAATTAATTAAAGCAAAGAGGACAATTATAAAATCCCTAAACAGCTTTTAATTCAAATTTCCCTCCTAATCAAAACTTAATTAAGATGTGGGCCGCATAACTCCAGCCTCCCCCTCTCTTTTCTCTCTTGTTCCGCCCGCCCACCTAGCCCGTCTCCGTGGCACTGAACCGGTCCAGGATGGATCTGTTCATCCGGCCCTTGGGCCGGCCTAACAGCTTCCTAACCACATCTCTTTTACCAGAAAAGCTTGAAGTTTACAGTTAGCTTGCTTTGCTGCTCTTGACATTGATCCTTTAAATCATTCTCTTACTGTCAAAGCAAAAGAAATTCACGATGATCTAGATTTTCACTATGATGCTTGGACTTGTATTATTCAGAGAGCTGAAACCTTTTAGCTCTCTAATGGTGAGGATGACCTTAATTTCCTCTATGGAAAAATTAAAGGCAGAAGGAATTATAACTGCTTTAAAGAGCTTACTACTGATCTAGGCACCTTTAATCATCATAAAGACATTGTTTTAGCCTTATTTCTCTCTTCAAAAATATTTTTAACACAAAGCTGCCCCAAACTGAGAACCAATTCCTGATTTCCCCCGGGAAGGTGGTGCCTCCTCATCTTATCTTCTTACTCACTAAGATTACTGATGATGAAGTTAAGGCAATTGTTTTTTCCTCACCCAAAAATTCTGTGCTTGATGGCTTCAACTTTGAGTTCTATGTTTCTACCTGGGATACCATTCGTGAGCCCCTTTGCCGAGCTGTTAAGCATTTTCACCACTAGTACTTTTCTCTGGAACGTTAAAGCTTTTGCTATTGCTCTCATCCCCAAAAATCATCATGTCAGGTCCATCTATGATTATACACCTATATCTCTTTGTAACATATTCTATAAGATCATAATAGCTCAAACTCTTGCCTTAATGCCTTTCATTATCCATGATAGCCAATTTGGCTTCATTCAAAACAGAATCTCATCTGACAACATTAGTTTGGCCAAAAAAATTATAAGGGATGTTAATACCAAGAAAGGGGATAAATTCTTTATGCTAAACTTAATATTTTTAAAGCATTTGATATAATCTCCAAGAATTTCATTATTTCTAGAATGAGACAAAAAAGCTTCCCCTCCACATTTATTGATTGGGTCACTACCTGCATTTCTGATGTTAATTTTTCTCTATGTCTGAATGGTGCTCTTGAAAGCTTCTTCAATTCTTCTTCTGGATGTCCTCTATCTCCTTGCCTTTTTTGTATTGCAAGGGATGGCTTATCTAATATTTTTTAAAGTGAGATCTCAAACAATCTTATTTCCCATCTTCTAATGCTGACAGTATTAGCCTATTTTCCTATGTTGACCCCCAATCATGTTGCCTTTAACTTACTCTTTCCATTTTAAATAGGAAAAAGACTCAAAATAGATCATTAATGTGGCCTGTTTAGTCCCATACTATCACATTTCTCTAATTTAATCTTCAACTACACAAAAGTTATCCCAAATGGTCCCTTAGGGATTAAATTGTTTTATTTTTTATAGTTGAGAGACTAAATTGAGAGATCAATTTTGTAACCTCATGTCTATCAATTTCAACTAGAGGGACTTGGGATTTGTTTTATATGGTTGAATGATTTAATTGAAGAAATATGATATTCTGAGACTAATTTGAGGACTATTTTGAGCTAGCTTTTTCTCATTTAATTTATATTGAGGCTGGCTACACTTGGTATTCTAGGTGCTCTTTAGACTTGTCACATGCCCTATTGAAATACTGTTTAGGGTGCCTAGGTAGTTTTAAACACACATTTCGTCATAATTTTGCATTTTCTCCTTTGCTGTTAAGTCACTGGATCAGAAAAAGAAGGGTATGCCTATTCATGAAGCTCCTGTCATTGCAGGATCTTGAAAGAGAAGTGTGCAACCTTACCCACTCCATGATTTTCATATAAAAATGGAGAGCCTCTTAAAAATTGATCCAGACCTGGTCTTCAATTTTAGATTAGAGTTCAGGCAAATGAACCCTAAATATCACCAACTTGTAAATGGTTCTATGTAGTTTTAGTAACAATAATTCTTCCAATTCATTGTTTGCTTACATGAATCATAACCACCATTGCTAGTCCAGAGTTAGGATGATGGCGATAACAATATCTCTTCGAAAGCAATTAATTATTCGTAAGATCTTATATTTTGCATATTTTATGTGATTCAATGTAGGTTGGTGATATTTTGAACTTATTAAGTGCGGTCTTCTTCGGGATTCATATTCTCAGGACCGAGCAAATTTCAAGAAGCACTAAGAAAACGAAGTTCTTGGCTCTTCTTGGATACGAGGTAAAATTTAACTCTATTTGAGATCCCATTCTATTTGTTTTGAAACTGTTAATATCAATTCTCTCTTTTATCTTCATTTTTAATATGCTCACCTCTGAATTTATCATTTGTTTTCAGATTTTTGTTGTGGCCTTGTCCTCTGCAATCTGGTTTATATTTCAAAAGTATTTAATCGATGGGGAGGGCGTAAGCCTTGGATCGTGTACTTGGTCTTATTTATGGGATTCGATTATTTCATTTCCTTGGATTCCTGCTATGTATACAGGCATATTCTCTGCTGGTTTGTGCTTGCTAGTAGAGGTTAGTTCCTTCTTGACATATTTTGATTTCCGTTGAATGGCTTTGATCATTTGACTCCAACCACTATTCTAATCAATAGTTGCTTTTATTGAACAAAATCAGCACTAATAATGCTCCATGACTAAATATTTTCAGATGAATGCTATGTGTGATGTATCAGCTACTGAAACTGCAATAATTTATGGACTTGAACCAGTATGGGGTTCTGCCTTTGCATGGTTTTGTCTTGGTGAGAGATGGGGTACCTCTACATGGATTGGAGCTTTCCTTGTAATCTGTAAGCTGACTTGCGTATCTGCCTTGAGAGCTTAGCAGATAATTTATTTTCATTTTTCTTTTTACTTGAAACTAGCATGATGTCTTAGGCTTCGTTTAGGATGGCTTTTTTACTGCTTCTTGAAGCAGCTTTCTAGTAAAAAAAAATTAATTTGTATACTAAAAAGATGCTTCTAAAATAGCCGTCTCAAACGAAGCCTTAGACTGATGTTGCATTACCCATTTCGAGCCACAAAATCTGTTTTTGATGCAAGCTGCATTCTAACATCATCTTTTTTCTTATATGAATTCCATCCATTGTTCATAGAAGCTCACGATTAGCTTTTTGTTTCACTTCGACGACCTCCCCTCCTGATCTCAAACCTCCATTGTAGGCGGAAGTTTAGCAGTGCAGATCCTTGGAGAGACTGGTAAAAGTGGAAGTAATATGGAACGATCCAATGAGCAAAAGGATTTCTCCCTCTCAACGGTTCCTGTAAATACTAGAAAGAATGATTCACACCTCTTTAGAAAGTAAGTTGCTTATATTTTTCTTAGCGTACATTATGGGCATATATTCTACTCACTACTTGCACAAATTATGCTGCTAATTTGAAAAACAGACAGGATAAATTATGATGGGACTGCGGAAAACTAGGCTGGAACAAATGGAAACAGAGTTCAGGACCAGTATTATCTCTTTGAGTCCTTAACTAACGGAATGAGGATCAATACAGTAAATGTAGTTCATATACATATATGAGACTAATAGAAGATTACAAAGCCTAGCATATCTGAAGGTAGCTCTGTGAAACTACTGTAGGCTTCTTGGCTTCAGAAGGAAACATGTAGCAGCAGTTGAACACGTAATATTATGGATGGGAAACATTAAGCAACCTAGCGTGATGCTTACATTAGGGATACAGTTCTTTCTAAAGCATCAGCAGAGTTCTGACCAGATTCTCACTTTTAGGGAAGTGCTTCTCTTCTGTGTAATGGAAAGACCTCACAAGTATATAATGATATACATGACACTTGATTATAGTGTAATTACAGTTTAGAAGTTTGTTATATATATATATATATTGATTCCATCAGTTATGTGATTTAAAAAGATTACTAATATCATGATTGATTCAGTGCAAATTTGTTAATTGTCAATAGGTTGTTTTTGAAAAAATTTCTTCATCTTATTCTCATTATCAAAATTTATGTCACAAAGCTTATTGTTTAGGTTTCGTTTAGGGCGGTTTTTTTAATGCTTTCTAAAACTGTTTTATAAAGCAGTAAAAAGTATCTCAATGAAGCCTTAGGCTTCGTTTGGAACGGTTTTTTTTACTGATTCATAAAATAATTTTCTAGTACAAAACTTTTAATTTTATACTAAAAAAATTACTTTAAGAAAGGTAAGAAAGCCGTCCCAAACGAAGCCTTAATCTCCTCCGAGATTTGTTAAAGAATTTGAAGACTTTTCCTATAAACAATCTTGCTCTTGAGAAAGTTGATTCTAGGGCCAAGGCTCCCTTTGTTGTCAATCCAGTAGATCTTTTTTGGTGAGTTTATGGAGCACTATGATTTGGTTCTTGACCAGTAAATGACGGTGGCATTGATGGTGGGTTTCTTGTTGGCGACCTTTAAATGACAGCCTCTCTGATGATATTACTATTATTAATAAGATAGCCCTATTAGAGGAGAGATTTCAACTATTGTTTAAGAAGCTTCGGATGAGTCCATTGGGAAGGAGAGATTATTAGGTGCGGGGGCACAAGCATTGTTCCGCGTTAGGTACTAGCATTCGGTACCACCTAATAATTTTTCATTGGGAAGTGGACAAAATTGTTCATGTTGTAAGTGATGGATTTATTTTTGTGGATTCTACATTTATGCTAAGGACTGGTAATGTTGTGTAAAATACCTTGATGCTTGATGATCTTTGTGGAGCCACCATTACAAACTATCTTATCGGAGGTATTGAGCCTTCTGGCTTTATGGTTGCCCCTTTTGAGGCAAAGCTCAACAAGTAATTAAAATTTTAATTTTGGCTTCATTATGTTATACTAAGCTATTATCGAAAGCAAATTGGTTCTATGAATAAGATTTTATTTGTGATAGGATTTTTATTGTTTTTTAAAATAATTTTTTAGTATAAAAACTTTTTGAACTAATTTTTTTTTTATTTGAAAGTTGCAAAGCAAAAATAAAGCTATCACAAACAAAACCTACTATAAGTTTTACCGTTAAGGAGAAACAAAAAATAGGGTGAATTGGTTGTGTATTGGCATTAATGAATAACTTCAAAAATTCTTTTCAATTTGAATCTTTAACTAACAAGCATGTCAAAATATAAAAAGAAATCAAACAATTAATTTAAACACAGAACATAAGAGTGTATGTGACATATTATACAAGATATGATAAAGTATCAATTGAGTGATTTTTGACCCCTGCAAAAAATAATAATAATAAAATAAACGCATGAAAGGAGTGAAATCAGCAATTTAAGTGACAAGTCGGTAGACACGAAGCTTCACTTGAAGGGTTAAACAACCTCTGATCATCAAACGGATTGTGTCGTTATGATCAAAACGTCGAATTCACCTAAGAGGAACCGCCTCATAGATGATTTAGAGGGAATAAGTAAAAATCTGACACTCAAATTTGATGTGCGACGTTGCTTAAACGATATATGATCGTAAAATAGATTTAGTCGTTGCGTTCAGAACGTCGACAATACTAAAGATTGATTATAAGTTTGTTAAACGAAAATCGTACTAGGAAATCGGCATGCATCCCTAGACAATATGCACAGATTTTGAGAAAATACTCACAAGTTGAGTCAACGAAGCACAAATTTCAAGGTATCTAAAATTACGTATCATTTTTTATGTCTCTATTATTATTATCATTTAGCACAATTAAAAAAAAGGAATCAATAAAAAAAATCTCACCTCAGGACGCTTCGTCGAAATCCTGTTTAAAATCTCTAAATTTTTTTCTAAAATCCAGATGAAAACTCGCGGTGACTGACGTCCGGACAATGTGGGATTTGGTTGCCTCAATCGAGCTTCTTTCCTACTGATAAATGAAGGTCGAGCAACCTCCTGTTATGTTTTTCTTTCTTCGACTTCAACGACTCCCCTTCTCATCCGAGTTCCTAAACCCTAAAGCTCTCGAACCTGTATCTAGCTACAGGCCACCGACTTCCTGTTCTTCGACTTCAACAACCATAACTCCCTACCACCTGCATGTTGCCTCCAATCCAATCCACCCAGTCACCCGTCGAAGGCCACCTGCTCCGATTAGACCCCCTCGACCCCGCTTCTGACCTCCACAGCCGACAGAAACATCCGCCTCTTCCTCTCTATTGTGCCGACTTTTGAACCCCATATCAGCCGGCCGCACCTCATTTGACTATTCCATTTCTGGTGCTTGTGGCACATCGGTAAAGCACATATATGCATTTTTCTTTAGCATGGTGGGAAGAAATCAGGTGCGAAGCTTATGACGAGGTGGGTACGCCTTGTACATACTCTTTTCTAATTTGGTGGGAACAATTTTAAGTACATGTGTATGTGTTGTCATGCATGCGGGGAAAGAATTGTGCATTTCAAATAGGTACCACTGAAGGCTCATACTCGCCTTTGTCTGGCCTGGTGGGATTGAAGATCATGATCGCGGTGTCACCTGACATCAACCATACATGCTTTTCTCTAATGTGTGAAGGCCCAGCCCCACTCTCAAAATTTCCCCTAAACGGGAATATGCTAGGAAGCAATCAAACTTTTTAGTGAATAGGGGACTTGACTTGAACCAAAATGCAGGGGACCAAACTTAAAATTACAGGGAACAAAACATACAAAATTGAATAATAGGGAAATGAACCCTAAACATTAAAATGCATATTTAAAATTAAAAAAGCAAATCCTAAAATGTGGTTTAAGTCGTTCAAATAGACACTAATGAATAATCAGAAGACTTGTAACAAACAAAACGAAATCTCTAATGAATGCTACAATGATTATATCAATTAAAGTGTAAATGCTAGCTAACAATAATGATTGTGCTATCAATCATGTCACGAATCATCAGGCAATGCGATGAATAATCAATAACATGCACAATGAATTGTCTATAGGTAGACAATAAGAGGCATGTAATGAATATGATGATTTGCTAGCAATCATACACAATGAATGTAGAACGCCTACAAGTGAAGTAAGAGAATTACTAAGGAAATAGCCTCCTTACCATCGAGGCTAGTTAAATTGCAAATAAATATACAATAGCCTGAGTACAAGAATGACGGCTGAGATGCTTTGACCGCTGCAGATCACATGCGAATACAAATGCACTTGATATCTACAAATAATAATCTAGAGTTTGCTATGAACATGAGCACCTACAAGCAATTATAAGTGACTTGTCATGAATACACCAATCTACCTACAAGTGATGATGAAAAACATGTAATAAATGCCCGGGCACTCACACAGTTGAAAAACAGAAAAAAGAAGAAAATCCAAAAAGAAATTATTTTTCCTTTTGGGTCTTGGCTCCCTTCTATTGCTGCTGGGGTCCATTTGGTTTGGGTTGTTTTTCCCTTGTGTTTTTCTTAGGTTATTTTGGGTGTTCTGGGCTGTGCTCCTTGCTGTCTCTTGGGGGTTGTGGTTTTGCTCCCTACTTTATTTTCTGGGTTGTTTTTGCGGGCTGGTGGTGGTCAGTTGTGGTTGTTGGTTGCCTTGTGTTGTTAATTTTTGGGATTTAATATGAAAAAGTTGAATTAATACGTGATGTGGTGCATTTTAAGCTAGGATAGTCCTTAGGAGTACTTTATCCATTTTGTTCTAGAATACTCTTTTGCTCTCATAAGTAGGAGGTCTTGTAGAAGAAAAAGGCATTGAATGATATATTTTAGTCTTTGAAGCTTTTGAAAAGCTCTCTCCTTCTTCTTCCCTGGATTGGGAAACCCAAATCCTTCTTGCAGGTCGCATCTTCCGACGATCCACTACATCAATACGAAAAAAAAAAAAGCATAGTAGTTTTGAAATTGAATATCACTCAGAAATCATGTGAAATTGTGATCAAAGAGGAATAAAATTCATGAATAGCGAAAAAAAAAACACCATAAAAAATCATTACAAAGAAAAAAATAATAAGAAAAACGTTGTATGTTATTTTTCTCATGTGAAAAATACAAATAATAAATGAATAATGGATACAAAATATATACTTATTACAACAAAATTTTAATTAAGGAAATAAATAAATATTTTTTAATATAATGGGCTATAATCTTGAATTTATTATTTTCTTTTTACTATATTTTGGTGCAATTAAACAGATTTGGTTTGATTCCTTTCATGCAGCATTGACACTTTCATAGAGAAAGACAATTAAATTGGAGCCCAATGCAATAAAACAATCAATGAGAATTTTAATTTTAGGATGAAATACATTTTTTATTTTAATATAGGAAGACCTTATTTAAATAATTGCAATTTTACAGCTAAACAAATGTAAAGACCTTACTGATCAACAATTAAAATTGATCATTATTTATTTAAAATATAATGAAACCGTACCAAAAAGCTAAAGAGGCGACCGCATAGCACCCCCCAGAAGCGGAATAAAATCTTAGAAGAAAAACACCATCAATAATTTTTTCGATCTCATTGTTCACCATATCTAGCTTTTGTGGGTCAATAACATCAACATTAGATGACGACGATGAGGCATTGGCAATGCAAAAAGTGTTAACGACCAAATCTCTTCTCTTGACGAACTCCGCCACATTTATTGATAGATTATTCTTTTTGAAGACCTTTTTTCTCACGACTAAGAGCAAAACATGTACGTCGGTCTAAAGATCACAGTTCCATATTTAATCTCCATACTCAATAATAAAAATAAAATAAATTACATAATAATAAATAAATAAATGTTTCATTACCAAATCTACGAAGCGGCGACAACACAAGTTGATGCGAGAGAATATTGATTATGAGGTCGTACCACCATCATCACATGTCAAAGAAGGCCAGTTCAAGTTGGCCATTTTGGTTGTGGACGCC